GTATTTAGAATATATACTACAGAAGCAAACCATTTACATGCTGTATATAACTGTGTGTCTATGCGTGGCAGCCGTGGAACTGTTGACAAGGTCAATCCACAGCACCTGCCTAATTGGGATGCAAGCTGCGGCCAAGCCCAAGCTGAGCCACTAGCTTATGGCTTGCGGTGGCATGCAGCTTGAGTTGGGCTTTTGCAAGCCCAAGCTTGGAGAAGCTGAGCCAAAGCCGTCATATTCTGGGCCAAGCTGAGCCAGATAAACCACTACTTTTGATCAGTCCGTGACTGGTCCTGACTGGTCATGACCAGTCCTAAGGTATCCGAGGCCATCTGGGACCAAGGACTGTGACCAAGACCGGACTGATGTAGGACTGGACTGTACCCAGTCCTAATCAGTCTGGTCTCAGTCTGAGTCCCAGTCCCAACCGGTCCTTAGGACCGGACCCTCAACCACTAGCTTCGAACAGCTTCTCTCAACAATGTTCTCCAACGCCGGGCGCCTCGTTTATCTCATCCACTCTATTGAGTTTCAAAAGCGAGGCCTTCCCCATGCCCATATCCTCGTGAAATATTCTGCGGACTGCACATCTCCTGCTGCGATTGACGCTGTCATATCTGCGGAGATGCTTGATGACCCGGAAGATGCCCGACTCGTGCGAGAACACATGTTGCACAACCATTCGCTGTATTGCATGCGCGACGGTGCTTGCCGATTCAAGTACCCTCATCCTATTCAACTGGTGACTACTATCGACCACACTGGGCGCGTTTCCTACCGTCGTCGCCATGAGATCGACGCATTGGTTGTGCCACATTGCCTTCCCATCATTCGTACTCTGGACTGCCATGTCAACTTCGAATGCGCCAACTCTTCCCACCTGTTTCAATACATCTTCAAGTACATCCACAAAGGTATTTCTTGCCAGGTCATTTCCTTCTTCACATGAACTTATATGCTTTCGCCAGGACCCGATCACACGCGCTATACAATTAGACCTCCCGGTGAACCGATCGACGAAATTGAGGAGTATTGGGGTGCCCGCTATCTCTCTGCCGGTGAGGCTGCATGGCGGATTCTCGGCTACAACATCACTCGCAAGCAGCCCTCCGTGACATCACTACCTATCCATCTTGAGGAACGGAATCTCCATCGCCAATTTCGTCGCCGCAACAATGCCCAAGATGACTCTCTATCCCTGCTAGAACGCTACTTCTGCCGCCCAGAGGGGACTTTCCTTGACACACAGAATGTTGTTCGGCGCTTTGACGATCTTGCCTATGCAGAATACTATTCTGCTTTTCGTCTCGCTCCCTATGACCCTAGAAAAGCTGGCCATCTCAACTACTTCTGTGAACACCACGCTGTTCACTCCAGTTCTGTGCGAATGCATGTCATCTTACGATCATTTGCGGCTCCACACCTTGCACGTATCTGCTCTGTACGACTGTCAGAGGGCGAAAGGTTTTACCTTCGTGCATTGCTTCAACATCGCCCGGCACGGAGCTTTTGTGACCTTCGAACCGTTAATAATGAGGTTCATCACTCGTACCAAGTGGCTGCCGCAGCGTTGGGCCTGTTCGCTGACAACAACGAAGCCGAACTTGCGTTGCTGGAAGCAATAGCCTCGTTACGCACGCCGCGTCAACTGCGCATTCTTTTCGCCCATCTTCTCGTTAACGACTGTGTTGCGACCCCTCTCATACTTTGGGAGACGCTCTGCGTGCAGCTATCGTATGATCACATTCTGCGCCACGAGAACAATGACGAGCTGGGCATGAATCATGCACTCCAAGAGTTGTCCACTTATCTCGAAGAGCACGGTAAATCTCCTCAAGACTATGGCTTGCCTGAGCCAACCGTATACTCTGCTGAAGTTGAACATGAACTGGAACGATGGCACCCACAGCGTGATGCGCTCCGTGCCAGAGCAGAGCATGCGCTCGGTGTACTTAACGCTGAACAACGCCTTATCTTTGATCGCATTGTGCACGCCGCGCTCACGGAAACTCCTCTCCTTGCGTTCATTGATGGCAAAGCTGGTAGAGGGAAAACTTTCCTCATCAATGCGATATGTGATTACCTGCGCGCTCAAGGCAACATTGTTCTCCCGACGGCAACGTCAGGTTATGCTGCGCAGTTGTACCCTGGAGGTCGAACTACGCATTCCACTTTTAAGGTGCGTTTAGTATCTCACAACCTCTGTTGTGCATTTCTCTTATTTCCGATGACAGGTTCCCATCAATGACAGGAACGAGCTGCTGAAATCTCCTATTACTGCTCGGTCGTCCCGAGGTGATCTCATCAACCGAGCCCGTGCAATTATGTGGGACGAAGCTCCTATGGCCAATAAAGCTGTTCTCGCATGTGTTGAAGAGGTTGCCCGCACCGTCTCTGACCATCCTGATCTTCCTTTCGGTGGAAAGGTTTTCATCATGCTTGGTGACTTCCGTCAAACGTGCCCTGTTATTCGCGGTGGTCGAAAGGCTGACGTGGTACAAGCCTCTATCAAGACATCCTCTCTGTGGCCATCATTCTCCATCTTTCAATTGACCACCCCAATTCGTAACGCTGATGATCCCGAGTTTGCTGACTTTGTGGACGATATCGGTGACGGTGCCGGCCCTGATGTTTGTCTGGACATGCTTGACAAAGTGCACTCGGAGAATGATCTTATCGACTTCGTTTTCCCCAACGATGTCCTCTCTCAACCCCGCATCTGCTGTCGGCGGTCTATCCTCGCTCCAACCAATGCCCAGGTTGACGTTTACAATGCAACTATTATTGACCGTATCACGGGTGAACAACGCATGTATCTTGCCAGCGACTCTCTGAAAGAGGCGACGGAGGCTGACCTTCCCATGCCTGACAGTAACAGCCTCTTGGATTACGCCGCGAGTCATACACCTCCTGGTTTACCTCCGCATACATTGATCATCAAGACAAACGCTGTCTACCGCCTGCTACGCAACTTCTCTCTCGATCGAGGACTCGTGAAAAATGTCCGCGTGCTGGTCACTGCTGTCGGTCAACGCCTGATCACCGTCCGCATTCTTCGCTCTTCTCCGACTGGTCAAGATGTTGCTGATGAGGAGCTACTCATTCCCCGCATTACATTCACTCACGAGCTTCGATCGGGCTACACACTACTCCGTCGCCAATTTCCGCTCGCCCCTGCATACGCAACTACTTTCAACAGCTGTCAAGGGTTGACGCTTGATCGAGTAGGCGTCGACCTCACTCGTCCTGTTTTTTCACATGGACAGCTATATACAGCTTTATCTCGGATTCGCCACCGCTCTCATGCTCGAGTAAGACTTCCTCCTGACGAACAGTCTACTGTAAATATAACCTATCCCGAGGTGTTGCTGTAGCTGCGAATATGTACTGCGACCATGTACTCCTTTCTCTTCTCATTTGCTTGCTTGCAATTTCTCCGGCTGCCAACCACCACGAGAACTGCTACCACGGAGCGAAGCGAAGTGATCTCTTGTAATTGTTAAACATGCCGGCCACGTTGCTTACGTAAGCTCCGAGCGCCGCGTATGATGTTGAACTGCGCCCGAACTCAAACATCCAACCAGCTCCAGGCACTGACCATCACAATCTCGCAGATTGGCCGCAGTAGAGAAGAATGACTACCTACTACTCATGTGCTCGTGTTCTCAGATCTTACCCGGAGAAGAATCCATTCAACATGAAGATGCGTGAGCTAACGCCTGAGCCACCTTATTTCCTGAGTCGCGACACCCCAGAAATCCTTCAAGAAGCTCTCTCCATAGCCGTTGCCACCGGAGGATCCAACGTGTTCTCGTCCATGTACGGGAGCGGCCCATTGCCCGTGGATGCCGAGGCGGCCAAGGACGCGCGCGAGCCGATCTCGTTGTGCGAGAGCCCACCAGAAGTGCCCATCGTAGATCTCCCGGAGTCTTTTGTATTGGCAGAGACGAGAATTTTTGACGAAATCCCTGTATTTGTGGTATCTGCGGACTGCTGGGACGCGCCTCGCCTACTCAAAGTGGTGAGTCTAGCTGTGTCCCTCTGAACGGCCTACCACGAATTCAACCATACTGTGCAGTATCCTTTCGTTCCGGACGGCACGAGCGGGCAAATGGATTCGTCTTTTCGGCGACTGTACGACAACGAGGTCAGCGCATATGCATACCTACTGCACCATGGTGCCTGCGCCAAGGAGGTCGTGCCGATATGCTTTGGCCGCGTCACTCTTACCACGTCCCAAGTGGCGCAGATACTCACCATGTGCTCACTCTCGGATGCGATGCGCACAACGCTACGCAGGGCGGATGCCTATGGCGCGCTTCTCCTGGAGCACATCTCGGACGGGCAGCACTTCACGATAGAAAACATCACGAACGACCTGACGAGCAGAGCGCTGCAGGCCCTCTACGAGGTACATACGTCTTTCGTTTGTCATGGCGCGCTCGGCTGCCGGAATGTCCTCTTCCTTGAACGCGAGCTTCCGCCGGTCATTGTCGATCCATCCCGCACTCTCGCTCCTGGTATGAGCTGGACAGCAATCAGAAACGAGCGGGAGCGGCGCAAGATTCGTATCGTCTGGCTCAACTTTGCTAATGCCTCCTGCCCCGCGACGACGTCCAAGTTCAGCAGACTCGATCTCTATCAAGAACTCCGACAAGGATGGGAATTTTTCTATCGGCGGCTGGTACGCAGTCTCTCCACGGGCTGACATTCTCAATTTCGAAACTAATTACGCGGTCTTACAGCTTCCCGCGAAACGGATTGGCTATGAGAAGGCCTTTACGTCATAGATGGCATTGTTGCACCGTAATTTCTCACCATGAGGTCTAACGCGTCGGTGGGCTCGCCGATTGTCCGCCCATGTAAACTTCGAAGTAGCCGGTTTCGCCAGTAAATGGTGTCCCTTGGCGGAAAAGTGTGCATACATGTAATCTACTGAGCGTGTACTAAAACGGGACCAAGTTCTACGACAGCGTGATGTCACTCAAAGACCTCAGATATGGTCGTATCCGATACGTTTATCTGGTAACTATGACCGTAGTCAGAACCAACCTCAATATTTCAGGTTCGCAAAGCTTACTAGTCGTTCATAAAAGTATGACCATGCGTCTCTCAACTCCCTCACGAAATCCTGACGCATCAAGCGGCGGCTACTCACGCAACACGAGCAGTCAAAGTCAATCCAGACGACTCGTTTGTCGGGGAGCAGCAGAATGTTGCGTTGGTGAACGTCGCCGTGGAGAACGTTCCCTGTATGCACAACGTTCAGGGCTCGCAGCGCGGCCTGCGCTATCTCGGGCGTAATGTTTCGATGGGAAAGCCGTTCCGCGTTAGCGAGATACTCAATGAGAATGCCCTTTGGCGGAAGCTCCTCGTTCGGCAAGGCGCGCACAGTGTCGGAGACAACCGAGAGCGCCATGAGCTTGCTGATGTGACCAGTTGAAAGTGTGGTTCGCCCGTAGCAATTCGGGACTACGCCTCTTTTGCAAATGCCGAAATGGAGCAGGTGGGCATACGCTTCGCATTCGCGCCGAAATAGGGCCCTCGGGTCTGGCTTGCTTTTATCGCGGCCCCAGCTGTCGTCGTCGTCGTCGTCGGTATCCTCGTCCTGGAGAGCATCTCGGTCAGGAAACTGGTACACAATATCAAATTAGTGTTGACGTTCACATAGGCAGAGCATATAAACACACCACTTTAAGCAGCATCTTCTGGTCATCAAGCTCAACCAAAAATAAGGGTGAGTTGCCTTTAGGATTTAACTGCTCGAGAACGCGGAAATTCTCTGATAGTGCGACCTCGGGAAGAGGTGGCGGCGCGGAATAGTCAACCCACGGATACCACGTCAGGTAAAAGTTCGGGTCGGCAATATTGAGTGGGTTTGTGCCGTACATCGTGCAAAACAGATTCGTGTTTGTTCTTTCTGCGACTGCGAGAACATTTGCGAGTAGCTCCGGAGTATCGTGCAGCATGCTATCCAGAGGCGCTGGGACGAGGTTGTACAGTGGTGGATCCATATCGAAAGGGCTGCATTCAGGGTAGTGGCTAACGTCGGGAACAGTGTTGTATACCTGCGTGTCGGGTGAGGCCATGTCGTGGACGAGGGACGCAGACTGCAGATACTGAAGGTGGCCGTTGCAAGAGAACAATGGCCTTGATGGCAAGTCTATCACTGTGATCGCTGCAAAGAAGCGCGTAGAGGCGGCCACTCACCGCATCTGGACTCGCACTGGTAAGCACGAGAGAAATTTGGAACTTTTTTGTCACAGAAAATATGCAAAAACAGCTCGAAAAAATAAGTAAGGAAATATCGTATTTTTCTCTCGGTATCTGGTAGCCCGGCAACTCGGCAATCCGGCAGCCGAGCCGATTGTCCACCAGGCCCTTTACCAAAGCGCCCGGGGACGGCGGCACCCGGACGATAGTCGGCTCGGCTGCCGGGTTGCCGAGTTGCCGGACCGCCGGATACTGAGCGAAAAATATGACATTTTCTTACTTTTTTTTCAAGCTGTTTTTGCATTTTTTTGTGATAAAAAAGTTCCAAATTTCTCTCGTGAAGGCAGCAGGGTCCTGCAACAAGATCTGGAACACATCGGAAACGTATAGTTAGGCTTCCTTCGATTGAGGCCGAACTGGTTTCAGCAGGGTTGATCTATGCTAAATTATCTGCGACGCTCATCATGTCCCATTGTTCTCGCAGCATCTAGATTATAGACCGCGTGGTTTCGAGTCAGATGAAAGTCCGCACTTAAAGACAGCTCGGCATTTAGAAGTCCTTCGGTCGTCGTCGACGGTTCCCTCCACCCCTCCTCAGATACACCATGCCTCCTTCAGCCTCTGTAACCATTTTTCAGTGGGCGCAGACTTGGGACGCGCCGGATTACAACTCTAGAAAGCAGGCCCCTCATCCTCCTGCAAGACATGCGGTACGTCGATAAGACGCTTCCTTGGTTGCAGTACTTGTTATTGACGGTTATCGCACGCACAACAGGATGTCGGTAAAAACACGAGTACCGTAAGCAACAAAACAGTGGATATCCAGATGGGCATCCTCGAATGGGACATCAGTATGGACAATATCCGCGAGCTCGCGAAGATATTGGACAGTCCATACGATTGGGACGCGTACGGGAAGGAGTTCAGACCGATGCGAGAATTTTTTCCTGACGTATTCCCGTCGCCCTTCGACAAAGAGGCGGTCCTAGCCAGCAGGCTAATTACTACGTTTTTCAACGACCTCAGTCGGTGTCAGAACTACATCATCGCGCGGCGGGAGCGTCTTCCCACATGGTACCCTTCGGACTACGTGCCTACTTTCACTGAAGTCGGTACGACGTGTCTCCAGACGGAGACCTGGTCGAGCTCTCACCCTCCGATTCCCGATCGCGCGACGATAGGGTCTGAGGATACACCGCTACTGGTGACAAAGAGGCCCTCCACCCGCCTGCCGGGTGACATCAAGTGCTCGCACAAGTTTCAGGCATCCTGGAGGCGGTATGCAGACCCATATCGAACGAAAGAGCAGAATAAGACTGAGGGCACCGGGGCGATGCAGAAGGAGTACCAGAAGGTGATGGCTCAGATCAACCACTACATGGAGTATGTCGGAGGTGTCAACTTCGAGGAGGCCGGAAGGTACGGTTACATTATCACTGACGAGGAGGCGATTCTGGTGCAGCGGGCGGCGATCAGCGTACACGGTGCGCCAGAGGGAAATCGTATTCAGCTGTACGCGTCGCGGGGTTTCCCCTTGCGGAGGAAGGAGACAGGGCCTGTGCCGGATGACTACATTTCGGGCATGCTTGCTTTGTTGTGGATTCATCTTGTGGTGGGCTGCCAGGACCCAGGAAAGTCGTACGCGATGGCGAGACCAGGATTTGTGAACTTGGACGAATAATAGGATGTAATATGTAGTCGCAGGACTACCTGGTACTCACGTCAACTGATTTGCTGTGGCGCCCGATTATAAATTCATCGATTCTGCGAGCCATTCCAAGAGTTACTGGTTTGTCAGGAGGACGCGCAGCCTTGGTCCATGGAAATATCATGACAATATGTAGCTGACTCGATGACAGCACTATATAGGCTTTCTACGGGCCTTTAATCGCCCAGCACGCCAGGCTACATCCTCCGTACACAACGCACGGCCCTGAACAAAGGCTCAGCGGCACAAATCACAGGACCAGAGGCATTGAGACTGCTGCCGCCGGACTCTGGTTGTTCCTGTCCTCAAAGACGTGGCATCCGCTTCAGCGTAGAACGTGCATGTCACACGAATAAGAATGATGGTATGAACAGACGATATGCTGAAGAGATTTTAATCGTCCCGGACAAAATGGGCGGCAGGCCCATTGCGCTTCACGACGCCTACATTCGCTTTGTAGGTTTCAGCACACAAGGAAAAACGGCCCAAGGCCGGCAGACGCACCTGGTCTCCGCTCCCAGCCACGCAACTTCGCGTCTTTTGCGTGACCGCGCGCGTTGAGCCTGCGGCCTATGAACTTGTTCAGAGCGCGCGGAGGTGCGAGGCCTTTTGGTGTCCTCGTTGATGGGCAATCCGCAAGCGATGGCAGGGTGCGGACGACGCGCGACCTGCCAGCCACAATATGAGATGAGAACAAGACTGGTATTAAAACATAGAATCACGCACCCGACAACGATCCCCTTCATTGTGGTCTTTACGCGCTTCCGCCTCTTCGTCGGTGGCGAAGCAGCTCGTTTCTTAGACCTTGCTTTCGCTTTCGGCTCGTCTTCTGAAGAAAGCTGCGAAAATGCGGATGCGAACAGATGCTCAGGAAGGTAACCCTTCTTTTTCGTGGGCTCGGACTGTATTGGCTCGTCGTCTTCATCTTCTGACTCGGCGTCGTTTTCATCGTCCCGCTCGCTGCCCTCGTCCTCATCGTTCTGCTGCCCGCTCATTTCAATCATTTCGAAGTCTTCATCCTCTTCCTCATCATCCTCGCCAAACTCCTCCTGCACCTCCCTCATAGCCCTCTCCGTCCTCGCCCCCAGGTCCTCCTTCGGATGGCGACGCAGGTTCCTCATTGTTTCCCTTATCCCCTTCTTTGAGCACCATCTCCTTCACCTTGCCTTTGCCCTTCGCCAGTGTCCTCCTCTCCTTCAGCGCCCTGTCCTTCTGCCTCCTCCTCTCCTTCAGTCTCTGCTTCTCGTCGGCGTAGAACTTTTGCAAGGCTCTTGCCTCGCCCTCTGCCGTCTTTTTTGACATGTTAAAGGAGAAAGACTCTGGCGCCTCATCGTCGCTGGTGTGACATGGTCAGAGGGAATGGAAACAGGGACAGTGCAAAAGGGCAGCGGAGCAGAGCGCGGCGAGGTGTGAGATGTGACCCGCCGTTTCCGTGACAGGAGGGCGCGCGTTCCGAGGTCGGGCGATACGGCTTGTGAGCGCTTGCTTCTTCCGTACGTCGTCCTCGACGTCGCAAGGTCAAAATGTCTTTTGCGTGCATTGACTAAGGGACTTACTGTTGGGATATCAATAGGAAGCACTCACCAATATAACTGCTATGACCTAGGAAGTAGATAGGCTTTCACAATCTCTGGGCACCGTTCGCAAGTCAAATTTGAACTCGGCTTGAAACTTGAAAGGCACGACGCGGTCACGTGCAATCAAGGTGACGCATTATGCAGCACAACGCGAGACCTCTTCGAGCCCGCCGTCGCGCTCAGCAGGCGGCGCACGCGAGACGAGAGCTGGGAAACCCCCCTTTTTGTCTTTCTTTCCATTTCTCTCAGCTGTTGCACCGTGCATACCATTGACCCGTCTTGGTATGATCCCAGAGCAGAACGG